CTTATAGACATGTTTTCTTATTTGAGTTGTGTTTATATGTTAGATGCTACTATGAGCAGCTGAATCTAGCTACTCTTATCTAGCTAGATGAAGCTTCAAACTTATGAATAGCCTAACTTTACATGGATTTATTTAGTTGGTGAATTGCTTGTGTTTGATTTATTGTTACCTAGCATGCTCATGTTGTTGCTTAAATCGCTTAAACTCATGTTATGTGTAGCTTAGTGACCATTAACTGCATGAACTTGATAACCTAGTAATTTAGTGAACATGGAATTGCTAGAGCTAGGATCGACCAAAATCTTAGTTAGTAATTGAAGTAATTAACCTTGCTGTGCTAGAGAACATAGATTATGACCATAATTGTGTTTGCATGATAAATCTTACATAGCATATTCATAAACATAATTGGTTCTGTGTTTAATTGTGTGTGACCATACATAGTTTTACATGAATTAATTAACTATTGGTAAATTTAGACCTAAATTAGTAATATAATAATATCCAACTTAATAATCCATAATTATTAGCTAGCCGTAAGGACGAAGTGGATTCGAACTAGATAAGAGTGTCTTTTAATTATTGATTGAATTTGAGTTAAGCAAAATCAGATAAAAACCCCCTTTTTAGCTTGTTAATAATTAGATTAATTTAGTAGTAAATAGATTAATTAATAACACCGTTCCCTGTGATCGACACCCGACTTACCTAAGCTATACTGTAATCTGACTAGGTACACTGCCTACAAGTGCATAGTTAGTCTAAGTTTGTTAGGTTATAAATATTAAAATTAGTGGGTACTTCCGTGCACATCTAGTCCACCCAATTCTCATCTAATGTAATATTAGATGTTGAATTTCAATGCAGAAAGATTAATATTTAAAGATTGTAACACATTATTATTATCATCCCAAGGTATGTGTTCAATACTGCAAGTTAAGGAGGTTTGAAATTTTTATTTCTTAATAGTTCTTTAAAAAAAATGCATTTACAGGTGCAAGAACAAAAGAACTACCTATATAAGCATGAATTTTAGCTGCTTGAAGAAGTTGGGTCTTGACTTTGATATGCTTATTGAATGATGGGACACAAGGTAGTAAAATGTAGTGTCAAGTTAGAACTTATGAGAATGTAAAGGGTTGTGTGTATTATCTTCATGTATTCACAAGTTAGAATTTATGCATCACTTTGTTATTATTATGTTTTGTTTTAAGTTAATGTAACATTTGCATTTCGGGTATTTTTCCTTTTAGCCCTTCATTTTAAAAATCCTTTCAATTTGGTCCCTAGCCGAGTACGTTGGGCGTACTGGCTCGATGGCTTGGCCGCGGAGGCGCCCACGTACGCGGGACGTACGTGGAGGTACGATGGGCGTACGGTCACCAAGGGAAAACCCTAATTGTTAGGGTTTGTGCCCTATTTAAACACCTTAAGTCACTCTTGGACCTTCTTATGACCAACCTCCACTTCTCCAAACCCTAAGAACGAACCCTAATTGCCTTTTGAGTGTTTTGAGCTTGGAAGTGAACTTTGAAGGTGTTTTTAGTGATCTTGAAGGAAGAAGAACTCTTGGGAAGATGCATTGGTGTGGCTAGAGCTTGTGGATCCAGAATCATCACCAACTTGGAAAACTTTTTGAGGTATAAATCTCTTAACTTGACGGTTCATTTTGATAGATCTAGTTAGGGCTTGTTTTTGTGTTTTTTATGGTCCTTTAAGTCATGCATGAGAGTATGAGCTACTCCATAAGCTAAGGATGGTAGATCTTAGTATTTTGGAGGTCCCTTGTTCATAAAAATGCAATCTTGATGTGTTATATTGGACCATGCATGAGTTAGGGTTCTTATTATGGGTTTTATTGAGTATTGAGTCCCATTAAGACATGCAAAGGAGTAAAGTTGCCAACTTTACGTGTTAAGACATCATTTAAGATCAGATCTGAGAATTAGACTTAGTGGCTTAACCGATTAAGCACTTAATGGTGAGTTGGGTTGGTTATGGAGTACGTTGGGGCGTACCCTGCTCGTACGCAGCGCGTACTAGCCAAGGAGGGCGTACGCAAGGTGTAAGTCTGAGTACGCCGGGTGTACTCAGCAACCATTGACTTTTTGTTGACTTTTGAGATTTGGGCCATATTTGGACTACTAGGTTTTTAGGCCTTGTTGGGCCACTAGTCTTTCTGACTTTGGATCATTATGGGGTTTTGGTCCTTCTGGGATTTGGGTCCATAATGGGCTTTGGTCATCATTTTAGGAATTTGGGCCATATTGGGCCTTTGGGTGTCATTGGACGGGGCCCCGGTTAATTAGGGTATTATTTGATGATATTTAGTGCGGAGGGTTCCCGGATCAGTAGTCCGAGCATTTATCTGTTTGTTTCTTCAGTTTGAGGTGAGTCTCATCCTAGTGTTTAGCGAGTCGAAGACACCAATGTCGGCCCATGATTTATGGTTATTGGTTTGCTAGCTCTCTGTGTGACCTTGCATGTGTTGTATGTGTACCGGGTGGGGCCTAATGAGTGTGTTATAGTATGATAGATGTCACTGTACTTGTGGGTCGAAGGCACCAATGTCGGCCCAGTGGATTATATTATAGTATGCTAGTTGTCTTTGTGACCCTTGCATGTCTTGTATGTGTTTGTATGTATACCGTACGGGGCTCGATGCCAGGTGGGGCCTGATGAGTGTGTTGAGCGGGGCCCATCGCATGTTACTAACAGATTTGTTCCGGGCGGGGCCCGATGGTTGTGGGGCATGGCTCATTGTATGTTTGATATGTATAGTATGAGGTATTTTGGGGAACTCACTAAGTTTCGTGCTTACGGTTTTTCAATTTATGTTTCAGGTACTTCCAGATCGAAAGGGAAGAGCTCGGGGTGATTGCATCGCCCACACACCATTATTTCCGCCTTATATGACTTTGATGTATTGAGATGATCGATTGACTTACTTTGATTTTCCTTTATGTTTTTTTGAACATGTGTGGTTGGTGGTTTTATTATTATGGAAAATGAAATTTTTGGTCTTGAATTTTGGGACGTTACAGTTAATCAATATTACACTTAAATGGGGGATGTTTGTTGGTGAATTGTTTCATTAATTGTATTGAAGTGTAATGGATTAACTTGTTGACCAAAATCGATTTTGATGAATATTAAACAAGTAAGAAATGTTTGGAGTACACACTTGTTTAAGTTTATACAAGATTCAAAGTAAGGGAAAAATGATTTCGGAATGGAATTGATATCGGAACCGAAAATGATTTTGCAATGGAAATGATATTGGAACTGAAATGATTTCAAAATGGAATTGATATCGGAACCGAAGATGATTTCAGAACTGGAACTAATTTTGGAATAGAAATAGTCTGATGAATCGGAACTCATTGGAATGGTACTGTTCATTTCCGAAGGATCGAAACTAGTTGGAACGGGTACTCTTCACTTCCTTAGAATTGGAACACATCGGAACACATCGAAACGTCTAACATCGGAACGCGTTGGAACAGTTCACATTGGTTTTACAGTTTGGTGTTTTACTTGCAGGATTACTCTATTATCTAGTAGTTAAAACGACCATTTTGTGTCAAGTTTGACTGTTGGTGACAGTTTTGGGACACTAGTGGTTAATGCCCTGTTTTTTGTGTCAGTTGTGAAATTGTCTTGTGATAGTTTTAGACATAAGACATATTTATGCAAATTTTGGTACAATGGACGAAAAACATACCCTCTCGTTTTCTTTTCTTACTCTCAAATTTTTGAGTATTATTCAATTAAGGATTTGAGAGTACCACCCAAATACTTAGATTTGAAAGTATAAAACACGATATCAGAATTTACAAGTACTTTTAACCCCAAATCTCTAACAACAATCTACCACAATGATGTAATAAGAACCTAAAAATATTAACCCAAATTTTTATGACGCTTAACCCAAATCTATATTTGGATAGATCGTATGTGTAGTGATATTAGCATAGTAAAATCTTTTGAGGCGTGTTTATTTTTTATTTGTAACTTGTAAGTTTAATCAAAATGTTGTTTAACGTACAAAAGGAACCCCATTTCAAAGTTTGTCGTAGTCCATGCACATGTTTCAGATGTATTTTAAATATTGTATTTGATATTTTGCGTTACGCGAAATCTTTACTTAATGGCAAAGAATTAGTTATCAAGACTTTTTCCGCATCAAATATCTCATTTTAGTTGATTTTTGGATGTGTTTCAAACATGGTTATCATGACTTAAGAAGACGTACGGATATGAATAAAATAATAAGAATTACATATTTAAGCTTCATAAATTAGCCTGCACAAGGTAGTGTTTGGATTTTTTTATATTGCAATAATTAAATCGTCAATTATTTTTGTGTTTAATAAGCAAAATATACATTGTTATTTATTTAACTTCAAAATATGGTAAATTATTTTCCTATTTCAAGAAAATAACATATGTAAACTTTACATTCCGATAATACAAAGAAATATCTGTTTCAAGATAGAACTAACAAAAAGTATATCAAAGTGTATAGAGTGATGAACTCATGTAAGATTTGTAGTTTAAAAGACTAATTGATATGCCTTTTACGGATTTAATTAATGATTATATGTCTTCTGATTAGATGTTGGGTCAAATTCACATTAGATTAGACTCATTGATATGTTTTCTATTGAGTTTAATTAGATGTTGGATCATACTCGGATCACATTCAAATTGTTTATTGTTTGATGTCACAATTTGAAGTTTTTAATCACATTTAGATTATTTGATGTCACAATTTATAGTTTTTTATCCGATCTAATAACCCCGATACACCTTTTAATGGGTAATATAAAAAGATGTTTGATCTAACTCAATTAGATGTTGATTTTATCAACAACCATGACACAACTTCTAAAAATTCTAAAAACAACATTGTTCATTGAATAAAATAAAATATATAAATAAAACGATTTATAATAATAATAATAATAATAATAATAATAATAATAATAAAGGAAGAAGGAGAATTGTCGACACTCGACAGAGAGTGTAAATAAACGGGAAGAATGTAAATAGAATTTCCCAAACTTATATTAGATCCTACCAAGGAGAAGAAGGAACTGTAATCAGACGGCGAATTGGGTCATTATCACCCGACGGAAACCCGTAATAATTTTGCTCTGGGGTTTGTTCGATTTCCATCGGCGATATACTCATTCGTTCTCAGTTTCTTAACCGAAAACAGACGATCATTACTGCAAATTCACACACAATACTTTCTTATTCGAATTGTCTGAAAATCGAAGTGGAATCTGGAAACCCTAATTTAGGTCCGAAGATCATGTCCACGGACCGATACGCTGCTTCCAACCTTGCATCTCCAGACGATAATTATCTGTAAGTTGTATTTATATATATGATAGCTTACAGTTTATGTTTCTATCACAATGCCGATTCTCGAAGTTATGATTCTATCATTAGAGTGTTGTATCGGCGTTATGTTATCGTTTGATTGTCTCCAATTGATTAGACAGACAGATTAAGCTAAATTACTACGAGTTTTTCTGTAATTTTGTGGTTTGGACTTTGGAGTATAAAATTAAACCTCTCGTTGGATGATGATGTCTCGTTTCTGTTGCACTTGCTTATTCAATGCGTCATGACGTCGATATTAGTTACACTGTAATTACATGAACTAATCTAATCCAGTTTAGTTGGTACTATTCATGACTCGTCTCCTCTTTTTCCATAGATTCCTTGATGCATCGAATGAAGCTCCTTCGTATGGGGATCGGAAATGTACAAGCATTGCTGGTAGCATATTGTACTGTATACTTTTGGCAAGTGATCATTTCCTGGTTTTTGAATACAAAATCGGAGATTTTTAAACACTTCCATTTTTGAGTTAACTTAAACTTTGGTTTGATTCTCTTCGATTCTAGTCAGGTTATGCTATACTAGGTGTTGGAGCTCCATGGGTGTTCCAATCTGAGAAATACTTGACATTACAGATACTCTGCACCTGTGACGTCACTCTATTAATCATCACAGGTGTTCTCTTTTGTTTCGTGTTATTTTATTGTTTATTTTTGGACGACTGGTGGTTCACAAAGATTTTTTTCCCTTACAGGCATCTTCCAGCAATATATGGTTTATCAAGTCCAGAAAATAAGATTACAGGTAGTATTTCTTCTACATTCTTTATGTTTTAATCACTTGAGGAATATTTTTAAAAAATGTAGACAAGTACAACTGTAAAAGTTCATTTTGGCTAAACAGATTTCAGTGAAATGAAACAAATGTGAGATGTTGTTCTAAGATGATTGCATAAGATTAATGTTCTTTTATGTAGGGTTACTATATTTTCAGTCAAAAATTGAAGCATGTTGTTCGTATGCCCTTTGCCAGTTTTTCATATGGTATGTCTATCTTCATTACACAGTTCCTACAAAAGCATTTTGTTCTTTTGCCCTTTGATGGCAGTTGTTTACTTTGAATATATACTACAAAAAACGTATTAACTTACTATGATGAGTGAATACGTCAAATGGCAAGAGAAAAAAATAATCACACTTCCTCTTTAATACTCTTTTCTTTAAAAATAAAATTAATAAATAAATAAATAAACTTAACTAATTTATCATCATATATCTGAAATGTTTTGCAAAAATACATCATCTATTATTAAGAATGTTATTCCAATGGTAACATATTATTAAGTGTTTATGTTTGACATCAAAGTCTGTCATATCAACTAATTTCCAGGTACATGTGCAATGCTACTTATCATGGTTTGGGAGCCATATCTAAGAATTCTTTCCATTCCTTTAATGCTCAGGTACCACACCTCCCCTTTGAATCTAAGAAACTAAAACATAATATTTATATAATTTTTTAAAATTATATTCAGGATTATCATGTTGGTTGAAGCTATCTTTGCTGGGTCTTTCATGGGAGTCTACATTGGCAAGTTTTCCTTCATTTCAATTTCATCCATGGTAGAACTCAACTGAAATAATAGTATTTGACACCTGCAGGTCATGTACACCAGTACAATACACTAGAATCCCAACCTGATGTTGTCAAGTCCTTGCATTCTCCACTTCAACCATCAAACTCTCTGGAAGGCTTGAGGTGAATGCACTAACAATTATTATTATTATTATGATTATGATTTATGATTATTATCCCATAATAGAATCAGTGAATCACAAAAACTAATCACAGCAGGTATCATGATGGTGGTGGCTATCTCTCTGATCAGCAAATGGCTTTGTTACAGTATCAAAGAGAAAACCTCAACTTTTTAAGTGAGGAGGTAAATAATAATAATAATACTAACAGAAATTTTCCCATAATTATTTCTTCTTGAACCAACACCTTTAAAACCAAACCATTTTTATCAATGTAGATTCTTCGCTTGCAAGAATGTTTAAGCAAATATGAGAAATCTGGTGATGGCATGACACCTCAGGTAATAAATTTGGTTTTATGAAAACTAGAACAAATTTTGTAATGTTAGAGAATTAATTGCCTTGTTTTGTAGGTTGATCTTGCTCATTTATTAGCAGCTCGTGATCAAGAGTTAAGAACACTTTCAGCTGAGGTAACCACCTAATTGTGTCATTTAAGTTGAATTTTGGGGGATAACTTTTTATTAAAAATATATGTATATATATCTAGATGAATCAGCTGCAATCTGAATTAAGACTTGCTCGATCTCTGGTTGCTGAAAAGGAGGCCGATATCCAGAGTGCACGTAATACAAACAATCAGGTGTCTATTTTTTTCATTATCTCATGAAATTATATATTACTTGTATTCTAAAGTCTTTATTATTTATTGTGAATGAAATATAAATAAAGTATATGGAGGAAAATGAAAGACTGAGGGGCATACTAGCAGAATGGAGTACCAGAGCAGCAAAGCTTGAGCGAGCATTGGAGCTTGAACGCATGTCCAAACTGGAATTACAAAAAAAGATGACGTCATTCAAAACCCTCCAAAACATGGGTCATCCACTCCGGTAACATATGACCAGAATTGTTACAAGTTTGTAAAATAGAAAAAATCTCTTCTGTTGTTTTTTTAAAAGAAATACAATTTTACAATATGATAATATATCTAGAGTTACTGGTTTGTTTTCATAATGCGGATACATGAGTTGTTTCATCTAAAAACAAGCAACCAAACACGTAGTTATAGAAATCTTTAGCTTTGATGATCTCGCCTCCACCTGTAATGGCTTCCATGTCATATTTACAAGCTCTAGTGCAATCCGGACAGTAGGTAACCTGTTAATAAAAACCATTATATATGTGTATGATATAAGTTTAAAGAAGAAGAATTAAATTAAATTAAAAACATATATGCATACCTCCAATAATTTGGGTTTGAAAGAGCGATCAAGCATGACATCCACACCATACATAGCCCTAGACATTGTACTGTGCATCTCTGGGTGGACTAAAGTCGCTGATTCAAACACCATTCGGATCATCTGTTTAATTCTTGAATGAATTTCTAACCATTCAACTGCAATCATCAAAGAAGATCATTCAAAAGAACCAAAGGTCTGTTTGCTATGAATCACAAAGGAATGGAATGGAATGGAATGAACAAGGTATCTATGTACAATTAGATGCCTAATTGAAGCTAAAATGGTAGATAAAGAAAAAAGATGTATTTATTTCATTCCATCGCGATTCTCCATTCCATTCCCTCTTACATACTAGAGAAAAGGTAAGACATTCAAACCTTGATGTTCCTGCTCAAATTCTTTTACAAACTCTGGTGTGTTCATATGATTCAATTTTCCCCTGTAATTCTGATAGTTTTGAAAATAACACCACCATTAGCCATTACAGCAATTTACAAAACTAATAAGATCAGTAGACTAGAGAAGCAAGCAAAATGATTTACCATAACAGTGAAATGTGTCTCATACTCAAACAAACTCTTCTTATCCAAAGTGTACGTGTTGTTTGCTAGTCTCACCTGAAAAGAGGTGTGTATGTAAATAATGAATTAAATCCAGCAACCCTTTTGACTTTTGAATATTCTACCCTTTTGACTATTTTACATACCCAGAAAATGTTGGTGATGAACAACTCCAATGGGTTCATACTGCGAACAAGAACAATATACCGAAGATCAAACTTCTTCCCCTTGAACAAAGCTGGGCTTTCAATATACTTTTGACATATTTTAGGGCCAGTCTCCATGAGCCGTATAATAGCAGATAAATTCCCAGTAACCGTTGTATCTATAGTTCTTGCCATATTCCAAGGCTTCAAAATCCATAAATTGTCATCCCCTTTGTTTTCACGTACATAATAATCACCAATAAACTGTGTTAATTGTGTTTCAAGGTTATAAGTAGGCTGAAACCATTCAGGAGATCCATAAGCCTGTAAAAATAATATGTATCCATCACTCCATGTCACCAAAAATTTCATCATAAATATATACAATTATTATCACCTTCTGAACTGTATCTGCCAAATGATGTTTCATAACAAGACATGCTTCAAAAGGGAACTGATTCATGCACTGTCGATCATTTAGGCCTACAGCCTTCTTCATTTCTTCATCCACCTGCATGCTTGTCCATATGATATCCGCTTCCTTTGGTTCACTTGCTATAACCATAAAAAATACAAAAAATTAAAAACAGGAACAATAATAATTTTAAATAAAGAGCTCACGTCAAAATCCCAGAGTAAGTAACACGTACTGATTATAAATCCTGGGTGTGTCAAGATTTCTTCCACTTGTGGAATATCTGTATAAACACGAAGAGGACATCTATCACTGCGTGCCAGACTACCAGTTCTAGATGCCTTATTAACTGGTGAACAACTTATTGATCTCAAATTCTGCCAAAATGTTTCGTACTCCTGTATAATTGATGACATGTAAACATTAAAGATCATTTCATAATTACAAAGATGATCTTAGTATAAAAAAAAAAGTCAAAAACATACTTTGATAAAGTACTTCTGTGGGGTATGAAACCAAGCTGTTAGTCTAGCAGAACGTTGCTTCTTTTCTCCAATCCCAGATAAATAATCACGAGTGCATTCATCACCATCTTCAACATTTTTTGTAGGCCAAAGAATCGTGAAGCTGAAAATGTAATCCATTATAATCAGATTGTAATCATGGTTAACAGACTCTAATCATGGTAATAAGATAAGTTGACCTCACTGCTGACTCAAGTTTTCCCTCAGGCATGTATAGGAATGGTGATACTCTGAAATTTGGCTCATCACTGTGTCGAAGAGCTGAACCCAATTCATCCATCACATACCTACAAATAATGTCATAAAAAAAGTCATTTACAAGATATTGATAAAATGTTAAATGATTTAAAGAGTGTTGAGTTGTCATACATACCATATAGAAGTCTCATCAATCTTCTCTTCATCTGATAATCTATAAGACATTAAGTATAACCACATGGCATTCAAGACACGATCAATTAAGGGTTCACCAGAAGCCCATTCAGGAAGACGAGGAAGAAGCATGGAATCAATCACACTTTTTCCAGATTCTAGTACTTTTGATGTGTTTACACCATTTAGTAAAGAAAGATTAGGAAGAGATTCAGCAATCTTGATTGCACTGTCTCCTAGAGGTCCAGGAATGTCCACCTATCACATACATAGAATTAGCAATGTATATATATATATATATATATATATATATATATATATATATATATATATAAAGATGAGAGCTTTAGTGATTGAAGATACCTCAATTGCATGTAAGCTGGTAAAGGCTTTTAGATGTTGATGTAAATCAGATACAGAGTGATCATCTAATGGATTTCCTCGAAGATTTAAGTAGGAAAGAGATGGCATAGCATCAGGTGAAAACCCCTAAAAAAAAGTTGCAAAGTGGAAGTAAATAATATGTAGAAAACCATTGAATAGTTGGAAATAAATGTAGTGTGGATGATGATCTGATTATACCATGTGTAGGCTGTGAATATGTCTGTTTGAAAGGTCAAGAGAAGTCAAACCCTGCAACGAGTGGTTATCATCATCATGTCCACATCCCGGATTGTCTTTGTCATAAATTCCTCCACAGAAACCCAAAGCCCAGCCCGTGTATTTTCGTGTAAAAGATGAGTTCAAGATTTCAAGTCTTGGGAAATTATGAATAATAGCATCTGCACCATGATCATCACTAGAGGAAAAAGTACTTCAGTTTTATCTCTTTTACTGTTTCACACCAACAGCGATGATTAAAAACTTTAGCAATCACTTACAAATTCTGCAGGATTGGGTTATTGTTTAGCCAGAGAGCTCTAAGGTGTTTGAACTTCACAATTTCCTTGGTGATTGTCTCGGTGAACTTAAGCTTGTTGTTGCACAGACTAAGTGCAATTAAGTCCTATAGAATTTGAGCACCAAAAAGTAAAACTGATGCATCAGTGGTGGAGTTCTCAAGAAAAGAGATGCATGAAAGAGATGAGAATGTGAGCAATGGTGACATACAGGAAATTTGGTAGGTAAATCAAGGGACACAAATAGATCGTCATCAATGTCAAGATCCTCGAGTTCCAACCACACCACTGCACCAGGCCCCTCCTTTTTCACCTTCTCCAATTCTCTCTCCACGATTTCCACAGCAGTTAATTTGATATCCTCTTTATCTGCATCTTCATCGTCTGAATTCAAATCAATATCCACACACATCAATGAAGCCATTCTCTCTACCAACCCTGGAACTTCTTGCAGCTGTTAAAACAGTACATACAATTCAAATCAATGTAGATAAACACAATAGAAGATGCAGCCTGGTCTTAACAAAATGTAAGTTGAGTATACAATGAATCCCATCGATGTCGGTTCACTTATAATGAAGGCTTAATCGCTTAATCCGAACTCGAACACGATAAAATTACAGAAGACTGTATTGGAAGCAACTTAACCTGTTTGGGGGCATCCGAAAGTCGAAAGGACAAAGCATGATCAACGAGAAAAATGTTAGATTCTTTTCCCATGGAATTCGAGGTGGTGAGAACAAGACGCCTTTGGCGTCCATCCTCTACCGGCTCCACCAGGAAGTAATTGCCGCCATCGAAAGTTTCAGTAGACAGCTTCTCAAAGAGTTTCCGGTAAAGTGACTGAGGAATACCGGCAGCTGCAAGTAGTAGACCATGAACCTTCAGAAAATCTTCAAATGTTCGAATAGTTCCGGCATCGGCCATGACGGAGGACGTTTTCGTTTGTGTGTTGTGCTGGCGAGTGGAGAGGGTTTAACAAAAGGGTTTTCCGACAGCACTCGACACTCGACAGGTAAAGGTGTTTAAAAATTTACCTGGGCTATCCACTTTAATCGATTTGGGCCTTTCTCCTAGACCCCCAAGTCCCAACGTCACAACTCCCGAGTCTAACAATAAGCCCAAAAATGGAATTCTAAGTCCACTCAATCCAACGATTATGTCTTTTTAATTCAAAAGACATTGTAGTAGAATGTGATCTTAGAGCAGAGACGGTAGAGGCCCCAAAGTCACTCTCCAATTGGTTTTTGCCGAAATGGATTTTGTTAGTTTGGTCAATGACGGTCTTTGCTTGTCTCGGTTCGGTCCAGACTAGATCGGTATCGTGGTTTTTTATTTTTCGCATCCGATCCAACGCTAACTAAGGGTACTTCCTAGAAGAGTCAATCGTGAAATATTATAGCTACACCCCTAAGGCCATAAAGAACCAAAACATATGTTCTCTCGAGGACCACACCATAACGATGCTCTACCGGTAACTTAGGCTATTCCACAACAGAATAGAGAAATCGTAACATTTTCTCACTAACCCCTATATCGAGTAAATTGATACACAACTAAACAATCAAAATAGAAACACTATACAATAAAAATGTTTTCAATATGATGATATATGGTCCATTGGCATGGCCTAGACTGCTCTAGCGCGCCAGCCTAGCCTGGCACACTCCTGCCAGCCCTGCCTAGCGTTCCCTTGCCAGCCCTGCAGGGGACTCTCCTGCCGGCTCGGCCAGGCGCTCCCT